TTCAGGCAACTGCTCAATGACCTGCACCTTGCAATTGTCGTCATCAGCCTTGTATGAGTCCCCGTTGATCCCGTCGATCTCGTCAGAGTTCACAATGGAGTATTCCTCTGTGTCGTCTGATTGTATCTTCGAAGCCTGGTTCCACCGAGCATCGTCTTTGATGATGTCCTGCTCTGTGGCCGGCAATGAGGTAGCGGTACCCTTGTTCTCGTCTGTCACTTCAGTGACGTTTTCCTTGGATGCAGATTTCTTAGTTTCGGCCAACGGCTCTAGGGTGTCTTTGAAGACTGTGTTGCGCTTGTTCAGCGGCTTCCGGGTATTGGGAGCGTGCTGGTTGATACCCGTCTGCTTGGCAGAGGGCTCAAGAGGCTTTGGGTTGGAGACATTGTTCACTAAACCCTTCAGACTAGTCATCGACATGGGACGCTGAGCGGGTTGCGAGAGAATGGTCGTTCTTCTCGCTGGGACAACTGCGGGCGCCTTCTCCGCGACTTTGAGTTGCTTCTTCCCGGCAAGGGAGGCATCATCTCGACTTCCTTTGGCGAGATTGGCAGTGTTGCTGACGTCGCCAAATGCAGCCCTTCTAAAACCATTTCTAGTCGTGCCATTCTGAAAGGCTGCAGATAAGGCGGGAGTGGACTTGTTTCGGTGATGGATCGTTTTGTTGCCAGGCAGGGCGACGGGAGCATTCTCGTCCGTACGGACGCGAATTCGTTGGGGCTGTAGACAATCAGAATCTGTCAGCATGCAAGACGTATTCTTCATGAGGGATCATAAGTCTTCGTCGCGTGTCGAGTCTCGCCATTAGGTCTGCAAAACAGTACCCTTGGTAGTGGCAGACAAGAAGGTATTGATGGACAAACAAAGAGATTTTGACGTACCTTTGCATCCATCTCTGACAGAAACAACTCTATCCAGGGAAGGATATAAGATCCCTCACCAGACTATGTAGTGTCGTAGTTGTTTGGGGCGTTGAAGTCGCTTGTTTACCTTTTTCCCTTGTCGCTGCGCAGTGGTCGAAGTACTAAAATTATAGCGGAAGTACTAAAGCGCCTTCGTCCCAAACAAACAACAAACCGCGGCTTAAGATTTGAGGACGAACTCGACCATAAGGGATGAACAAGAAAGTTTGAAACTGAGCTGAGACGAAGGGATCAAGAAGAAAAATCAAAACAAAGACCTCAAGGATTGCGAGGGAGGAGGGAGTCAGCCTTTACTGTAGCTCCTTCTACAGGATACCTTACTGCTGCAGTAACCGTACCTTACCTAAGGCCTGCCTTACATTTGTTGGTGGACAATAAACAACAACCTTACAGGGAGGGGCTAAACTATCCTAGGTTTAGCTCCGTAACTTGGTTGCTCCGGCATGCTTATGTCAGATGGCTTTATTGTGGATTCTCCTATTCCGATTAGTTTGCGCTGTTTGCTATCTCTCGGGTCATTTCTATGATCCAATGACATCATGCGACACGTCCCCCCGTCAACACTCCTCCTGACAATGATAGCCACAAATCAGACAACTACGAGAAAAACACAGTTAGTGGCTAGGTTTTATGTTCTTTAATATAAAGCGACATATTCTCTTATATGTTCTGTCGACTGAATTGCATTGTTGGTGCAGAATGAGCAGCAGATTACCGCAGGCCTATCAACACGCCAGCAGACACGAAATCTTCGGCTACTGAACGCGAAGTCACATGATCCCACATCTCCAATGTCCGCACTGGGATTCGGCACTCCTCAACAAGTTGTTGGACAAAAGAAATTGCGCATTGGGGCTGAAATAGAATCGGAAGCTCAGACTCGACAGCTGCGATCAGATCTATGGCCATATTCATGACCGATCATCATCAGCAAGTTTTAATGCCAGCTGCGCCGTAAAGCGCCGATGAGTCCATTATCCGTAGCTGAGCTTGAAATGGACCTGAGCTTAGTTCATTACGGATTATTGAGAGGTCTCCGATGTTTCTTTTCAAGGTGTAGAGATCCTTCTTGGATTCTCATGGCCGTTTTCTTGTTCAGTTTCCTCGCCGTTTGCACCCGTTGCAAAAGCCACTGACTCCTCTTCAAATGTGGGACACGGAACCGGCGGTACCTATCATGAACAAGCGGGATTGGCAGCTTTTTCTACCTAGGTACCTGTCACAGAACACTCCAAAGAAGAGAATGCGAAAACTCCCAACCAGCTAGTCTTAAAGCGCAACCGGAAGTGAAAATTTAGAATCGCAAGCGCAAAGCGATTCTTTCTATGAAGCTACATGCAGCCATTCTAACTCGTCTCGTGGCGGGATGCGAGTCCAATTGCAAACGAGAGCCGGATGGCGAACAAGGTGGAAACAGTAATAGTACTTGCGCAAACTTTCGGTGTGCCCTTGGACTCGCGACTTGACAATAGATAAATCAATAATCACCCACACCATTGAAAACCCCGCTTTGGCTGTCGAAAGGACGATTTTAGAAGAGATGTCTGCCTTTTTGCTGTCATTTCCATTTCCAAAAGCTCTCGCAAGAGACTCTCAGGTAGACATTAGACAGATCGGCTACATATGATCTGGATGCTCAACAATCCGGTTCTTGCAAGGATCCTACTGTCACGAATATCGTTCTATGTCAAAAGTTACCTAATTTTTGTCGCATTCGCTCATGAACTCAATGTACCGCAAAAAAGAGATGTCCTGCCATGATTCAGTAGTCATTCTACCGAAATCGAGTGAGCTCGTGGCCAACCCTACGAGGACCTTGGGAAGACAATGATTTCCGTAGGCGCAACAATTCGCAAAGCTCAACGACAAAATAGGATCATACATAGATAACTGGTTCCAAGTTCGTTTGTGCTTGAGGGATTGGATGGTGTTTGGTGGTTGTTGCAATAATAGTCCATCCTTACGTAGCCCACTCTGGCAATGACTCTGTTCCGAGGAGGGGTAGAAAGAAGTCTGGACAAGCGCAGATCATGAAACGAGGCAACAATTGGGCCTTGTCGCTTGCTTGGCTGTGCTGGCTATCCTTGTCGCAGTCATCATCACTTATTTAGACTAGATAGTGATTGAAAGAGAGAACCGGGCTCTTACCCTTGACTTGTAAGTCCTTTCTCTCGCCTCCTCTGCTACGAATAGATAAATGCAGATCGATTCATGCGCTATCCCCATCGGAGCATCGATAGACTCGTCCGATGCTCATAAGGGAACATCAAGCGCTGAAGCACTTCTGATCGAACTAGTCCATCGCGTTATAGTTTCAAGCGGAAGATATTCTCTAGATATCCCATGGTTGAATAAATGCCGTGATGTAGACAATGATAAACCCCTCCGTGTGAATCCGTCCGTTGATGACTTATCCTGAGCTGTCCTATTTCGCTCACAAACACCGATCGGTGCTTTTCTATTTACCAGTCAAATCGCCTTGCCGGAAAGATACTCCCTTTCTCCTCAATCAATAGTAGTTGGACAGGATGGGGGGCAGCTTCTGGGTGTCATTCGACGTGGCCGCGGTGAGGATGTGCCAGCCAACGAATCGACAGCCACTCAGATGGATCCCATCCGTCTCGTTCCTTTCTGCTCACACCATCAATCCAACCAGTCATGCAAAGGGCTGAAAGGACAATGAAAGATTTAATTGTCGAGAAGAACTGTGGATGATACCGCGTCGGTAGGAAAGAATGCGACTGAAAGTCAGATACCTTGGTCGCTTCGTTTGCGCCAGGATCCGATTTCGAGGCGAATCCATCAGTCCGACTCTATCATCATGGCCAATGCTGGGCAACAACATCGAATTTTGTGCATTTGACCCTCTACATATTGTCATTGGAAGATAGCGACTCGTAAAGAGCCATAACTATAGCATTATATCTTTCGCAGTGATTTTCTGATAATAGACGGTCTTGCGCATCCAGTTTGCGACCAACAACCCACAGCGCAATGCGACTCAAAATAAGAACATATGTAATAACAGAATAGGTTTCAATCAATGACAGAAATTAGTTTCGCATGTAAAAACATGAATGAAATCCATCCTCCATGGCATTCTTGTATTAAATTCGTGGATTACCGGCGAACGCAGGTCACCGACCCCAGTGCCCATTTTCGCTTTAGGTGAAACCATCGTACACTCGCACCCACTTCTCTTCTCTCTCTTCTTCAACCGCTGATCTCGAAACCCAACCAGTTCACTCAACTTCTTTCGACACTTGCTTTCGATCCATCTATAGGTTTACAGGTGAGCCCCGATCTTCATCGTCTACTTTGAGTGTTATTTGCAATCATTTCGTTCCTGCCATTATTCGACTCTTCCTCTCCTGATTTCATCAACCTGTCGGATGCCACCGCTGACATACAGCCCAAGCGCTTCTTTGTAGACGACTCATCCACCATCCATCTACTGCGACATTCGACTACAGCCATCGCCTTCATCGTTCGTTGCCTCTAGAACCACTAGATGTGTGCGATTCTCGATGAATAAGTTTGACTCGTGATAGGTGTGTCATTGATGCTGTCCATCCTCTTCCGAGAGACCCTAGGCTTCTTACCCTCCMCTCCAAGTCTGCACTCATCAAGATTCGAACTAGAACGGGCCATCGCTAAATATTCATGCGAAGGCGTTCTTCAGTCATTCATAACTTTTCTTGATGGCTTCTTTTGAGTGAATTGTGCTGACCCATATGGTATGTTTCCTTCAGGTTCTCAACCGGTTTTTCCCTTTTCCAGTCGCTCTCGGCTCTTGCGACTTGGAGCCCCCTCACCCCCATCCAACCACGATACCCTTCGCCATCAATCATAGCGGTACAACGATCGCGGGTTATCTATCTTCTAACTAAACCCATCTGGTTCCTTCGTTGTGGTAGGTTTGGACGGAATTTGCCCATACTCTCGTCTCCCTCCTCCTGCCTTCCTCTGCCCCCACTACCCTCACCATCTGGACGGGCCCTCCCACATCAGGTCGAACAGCCGATTGATACAAATCTCTCGATGTAGCAATAGGGTGGTACCTGTTCTCCCTACATCATGCAGGCTACCTATCACGGAAAGTCCTCGCCTCATGGGGAGCCCTCCGCMTATACCGAATATATGGCCCAGGATCAGACCCACAAGGCCCCCATCCCCAAGAACGTTGCCTTTGAGCTTTTGCTTGACGAAAACTCCAAAGTTCGGGCTCGCATTCCCATGAGGGTACAGATATACCCTCATGATACGACGGATTCTATCGTGACTACAGTAAAGAATTTCTATGGCATCTATGACGGTGCCGCCAGTGGTGTCAGCTTTGAGGATGAAAATGGCATCACCCTCATCGCAAGGTATGAGAATCTAAGAAATAACATGACCGTCTATGTGCGGGTGATTCCCGTTCAAGCATACCCGGAAGGCTACGGGGATCGCTATTACGGCATCTCAGTAGAGGCTCGCAAACGTCCCAGTCTTGGCGAACCTTTCCAGTTGGGGCCGGCTATGCAGCCGGCGCAGGTCTTGGAGCATAATCAACCGCCATCCAGGCCTACCTCCAGGCTTGCTCGCAAGCGCAGCATGTCACCTTCCGGTAGAAGCCGTCGGAGCGCCTCTCAGAACAAGCAGCTCTCCAGAGCTGGCAACAAGAGCAGGGGTTCCAGCACTCATGGCAGCTTTCATGATGACGGAGCCTCGGGCTACAGTGACAGCGAAGGCGGTTATGGCTCCGTCTCTGGCACGAAGAAAGCCCGCAGCGAGCAGTTTGGTAGCTCAGATATTAGCATGGAAAATATACTCCATGACGGTCGCCGGAAGCGACCCAAATTTGAAAGCTCGGTAAGACAGCTGAGAATGCCTGCTACTTAACTTCTTCTTGCCAATGCGAACCACACTTGCTAACTCAACCTTTTCTTCTCAGGAATTGCCATTGTTTGTTCCTCCTCAGGTCCCTCTGACAACCTCTACCTCGTCGATCTCTCCTCAACGTCGATCAATCGGCCAAGAAGGTGCAATCTCGCCATTCGCTCGGCCCAACCAACGTCCATACAATCTACAACAACCACTGCCATCTCCACAAAGCTATGGCCACACTGAGCAGACATATACAATGAGTTCCGCTCACACCCCCATGTACGCCACTCCGGCGGTGCCTGACCATGGTCATCGTCTGCGCGATCGCGCTATCGCACAGTCGTCTGGACAGTACAGCAACGCCGCCGGCCGGTATAATGGGCCAGGTGTCCTTCCAACTCCTGATCCCACCATTGCTAGCTGCATATCTGATGAGGATGTTGCAATGCAGCTAATCCGGCTGGGAGACGCTTCGAATTTCTCTCATGGTCGAACATCGGCGTCTACGTTGGACGATGCCTTCAGCGGCGCTGCTGATGCTGCTTCCTCCACCGGCGCCACAAGCGACGGTGAAGACTTCAGTGAGGATGACGATGATTTGCCGGCGCGGTCTAGACAGAAGCTCGATTCGAGCCCAATGCTCCCCCCTGGCACCACTAAACGCACTCACAAGCGCCTTGACGATATCTTGCCTAGTTTCGACAGCTCCGACGGCAGCTACGACGGTATGGATGACGACTACCAACATGAAGAGCTTAATGATAGTCTAGTCAAGAGCGAGGTCGACGAAGATTCGCTTTACAGAGACTCTACACCTAAGCCGAAGAAGGCTAAGACTCGGCCGACCAATACAGCTTCTGCCAAACCGCGTCTGTCCAAGACAGCGCCCCCGCGCCAGGGCAAGAGTGGAAAATCTTTTTCGACCGCGGTGGCTCGTAAGGCCAAGTCGACGACCACTGTGGTGAGTCAGAAGGCTGCGCCACCGTCGCAGATCGTTAGCCCTACCCCTGCTCGCAAGACCTCTACATCCTCCGTCAACGTTCAAACTCAGCTAGCTGCGGACGAAGAGGATCTTTCAACCAAGCCACGCTGTCAGCGATGCCGCAAGAGCAAGAAGGGCTGTGATCGCCAGCGTCCTTGTGGTCGATGCAAGGATGCCGGTATTGGTCTCGAAGGCTGCATTAGTGAAGATGAGGGCAACGGTCGCAAAGGTCGTTATGGTCGCCATATGGGCGTACCAGTTAAGAAAGCCCTCGACGCGATCCCTGCAAGCAACGAGCCCCTGATCGGCACTACGGCTATCCCTTCCTCATCCGCTATAGCAGACAAGAACAAAAAGCGCAAGCGTTAGTGCATGTGTTCTTGCTTGCAATCCCCGTCTTCATTCATGGCATCTCATTCTTTTCCGACCATCTGCATCTGTCTTAGTCGGCAGCAAAATACTTGGATGATGTTGTTCTCGACGTGCTATTCTATGATCACCTCGAACAAGATGATCCAACTCCCTTCTCTCATTCACCGCCACATTTCCGCTCCCTTATAACCTGAAATCCTCCAATCCTTTACCGCAAATACGATACGACCACCTACATCCCAAGTCATATAGAACAACCCTCGAAAAATGAGTCACTGCGCGGACTCGGTACTGGATATTCAACTATTGACTCGACAACGGTTTTTTGCCGTATCCGTGCTACGAGCGCTAGCGCTCCTTACGTTCTCTCCATCTCGCAGTCCGTGTCCTGTTGCCATCTGCGTTTTAAGTCTCTGCTGTTTATCATGGGTAGTCTAGCGATTGAACTGAGCGGGTTGATTATCTAGCTTTGTTTTATCTTTTGGCGTTCGTGTGCTTCATTCTATTGCAGACACCTTGCCCTCAAGGGTTGCCTCCACTCATTTATCTACACAGAAGTGCGTTCTGACAAGCTATGTCTGTTCAGTTTTTGTTTTTTCTTTTTTTTATTTTACCTGCCCTGCCGGATTTGTACTTCAGCTTGAGTGTGAGGTCTAGTGTCGTTGAGTAAGGAATATATATTGTTTGCTTTTAGACCTGATTCAAGATAGCTTTAATCAGTAAGAGCAGCTTCCGGAATACGTGCCTCTTGCTTTGGTTCTAGCTATTCAGCGAGGAATATTCATCTTCGATAGATGTCGCACTGTCTACTTGATGATCATCCATGTGCGTCAGTCCTCCTACAGATACACTCGGTAGCTCATCTAATTCTCATATTGCCGTATTCGGACTAGTGGTGGTTCTCAACTCCGCATGCAAGCGCTAGACGCGCGCTTTTTTTTTTCCCGCCGAATTCTTGGATCATTTTACTCATCTTCCAGACTCCACAAACAAGCTTACCAGCACGCTCATTTTCGCTTTTTCTATTCTGAATCTCTTTACTTTACCGATATACTTCTATTACTAAGAAGGCCAAGGGAGAACACCTGGATCCTTGTTTTGGTGTCTTATCAATGTACTGATTCCTCCGGTCTTCCCCTCCCTTCGCACACACCTCGTGCGCGCCAGATCAGCTGAGCAATCATGCCTCCCAAATCCGTCCGTCGCGGCGCAGCAGCAGCAGCTGCAGGAGGAGGAGGAGGAACAGCTTCGCGACAAACCACCAGCCAAGCCGAATCCAACACGCCTACTGGATCCGCTTCATCCACACCCCAACCGTCCACGGCAACCGGTACACCCTCCACACGAGCACCCGTGCAGCGCCTCCAGACTTTGAAAAAGCGCACACCCTCCGGAAGCATCGGATCCGCTGCGAGAACTCCCGCGGCAACAACGCCAGGAAATGGAGAGCCGGCCAAGCCGACACTGAAATACAAGCCTCGCGCTGTGGGACGGCGCAGCAAAGAAGAGCGAGAAGCGATCGAGAAGCTTGAGGCGGAGCGAAATCGCGAGCGATTGGCTGAGGTGGCGGCCATGCGGCGGGGACGGGGAAATCTACAGCGAGGCAGGGGAGGTCCCGGGCGAGGACGCGGGGGCCCTGGGGGTCCTCTTGGAGGCGGGCGACGAGGCCGTGGTGGGCGGTTTGAAACGGATTCGCGAGCGTCGTCTATGTCGCGGAGTCGGTCGGTTATCGATATAGCTAGTGGTTCGGCTAGTCGCCATGTATCCTCTGACGAGAGTGATACGGAGACTATACTTCCCATTGACCAGATCGAGGTCGATAGCGATGAGGAGTTGGATGAGGTCGCGGATAGTAAGAAGGGAAAGGTCCCCTTGCGGTACGCGAACCGGGAGAAGGGCCTTCGGCCTGTTCGTGTTGAGCGCCGTGAGCACGAGGAACGTGTGGTCAGTGTCAACATGGAGTCCAGCACGAGTAAACCCGCCGAAGCTGAAGCCAAGGCTGAGGATGAAGTGGAGGAAGTTCGTGCGAAGAAGACAAGGCCCGAAGATGATTCTCTCTTCGTGCGGGACGACGATGAGATTGAGCCTCAGGTGAAAGAGGAACCTGTTGATGAAGACCAGACAATGACAGATGCCGCTCCCCATGTCGGCGAAGCAACGCACGATGATGGCTTTCTTCCAGCACAAAAGGTCAAAGTCCGCAGACGACTAAGTCCCAAGACTCCCGAGCCGGAACCCGCACCCGCACCCGCACCTCCATCCAAACCTGCTGTGGCTAAAGACCCGAGAAGTTTGCTGCGTACAAAGGAAGACATTGAAGAATATGAGAGGCATGCCAAGGATCTCGAGGCCATACTGGAGCTCCTTTCTGTCGAGCCCAAAGAGTCCAGGGCAGAGCGATTGGAGCCAACGGCTGATGCGGCGGCGGACTCAACAGTAACGCCCGAAACGGCAGTGACTGACAAGGAGAAAGAAGAGAAAGAAGCCGAAGATGCCGAAGAGGACGAGACGAAAGATAAACTGGCGGGCCAACTGTTTCTCATGCAGTTCCCTCCCATGACACCCAACCTTATAGTCCCGGGCACTGGCGGTAGCACGGAGGAAACAACTACAGAAGACACACAGGCTGTCCCCGGGACCACGCGACCAGGCGAAGCCGCCGTCAAGCTCGAGAGCGGCGAAGTGGAGATACTGGACGGAGCGGACGGAACCACAAACAAAGAGTCGTCGAAGATCCTCACCGCGGCGGACTGGCAGCTTCGCGCCGGACGGGTCGGGAAGCTGAACGTTCATAAGTCGGGCCGAGTCACGATGGACTGGGGCGGGATCAGCTTCGAGCTCGACCGGGCTACATCGGTCGACTTCCTCCAGGAGGCTCTCATCGTCTCGGCGCCGGAAGAGGGTATCCCAGAGGAAGAGAACCGGGTATGGGCTATGGGGCAGCTCAGTGGCAAGTTCACTGTCACGCCTGACTGGGAGAAGATGCTCTGAATGGGGGTTTGGCGCAACAAAAAGCATTAGACACTGTCTGCGGTTGCCACGGCTATGTCTACGAACATCTTTGTCTTTTGGCTTGACTGTGTGCATAGGGTAGCGATTTCTAGAATATGTACAATGCATGATTACGGCCTTTGGAGTTTCAAGTGCTTTATTTTGGGCCTTAGCAGGTAGTCAACGAGAGACTGAACGCCGAAAGCCTCTGCACCAGACCGGGGATGATTATCACATAAGCGGTAAGAGTGAGGATCAGGCTTCTCTGCCTAGGTACCTCATTAGTAGATCAGATTGCATGACTCTCCTGCATTTTCTTTTTCACTAGGGCCGATTGGCTGGAGTCCGATTTACTTCGCTATCACAGGACAATATGCATACTAGGGTAGTGATTGATAACGCCAGGCTATCGACCTTGATGACATCTTCATACTTCTGCTATTTATGGAAAGGCGACAGGTAGTGACGAAGGCCAGCGAACTTAGTGGAATTGACTCGAAGTGTATCCATCTGCAGCCATGAAGATAGTCGAATACTTTATTCTTTTACTGTAGTTCTGATAGGATGCATGATATAGAGTAATCTTCTAGTAGCCTCCATCAAGCAAGATTGTGGAGGACCATAGATACCCTCTTGCCTCCTTGTAGCTATGTCATTTGGATGCTTAATTTATTGACGATTCATGATTTCTATATATGGTGAGATGACTGCAGATACCTTATTACATCAGACGGGCGTGGACCCTCTGGCAGCCCTGACTGGTCCCTTTATTGCCTTGGCACGAAACCAATGGGGACTAGACCCGCAGCCACCGTCGCAGAGGCTAACCCCTGCCCCACGCACTATCATTGGTTGAGAATTTCTGATAAGCTTCGCAAGTCTTGCACGAGGCAACGATCAGCTACTACTAGTCCCAGACCGTGCTGACACGGCTCGTAGTAGCCAATAAAGGCCCAGGGAAATTGAAGCCTCGCAATGATCGACCCCACCCATCCGAAAACACCCCACCCCCCTTTAAGTGAGCGTGCGTACGATGCTAATTTCGATTTAATTAAAGGTGGATGGATATTGTGGTTCTGGGCCTCTCATTTTTCATCTTGAGTGGTTTTAGTCTCTTTTTAGTCCGCCTCCTGGACGACTGCTTGCTGCTCGTTTGTTTTTGCGCGTTTCCTTGATTTTCTTCTCTTTCTTCCCTTCGTCAGTCTTCATCTGTCTGATCTGCCTTCACAAAAGATCTGATCCCCTTGTGTGTGCATCCTGGTTGGGATCTGTTGCTCTTCGTTTGAGTGTCGCCTCTTTCCCCTCACCGTCTCGGATTTCGAATTCATCTCGGGTATCGCCCCTTCAGGAGGCGCACAGTCGCTCGTTCAGTACCTAGTGTCTCCCGAGCTCTAGCCCGGAGCTCGACTTACCCAGCCGTGAATCTCGACAACATCCTCGTTCACCAATTCAACTTGGAGAATCGATCCTGTTTCCCAGCCTTTCAATCGATCTCACCGTGTGGACTTGTCGTCTCCTGAAACAGCATCAGCAGCCGGTCAGGAGGAGCGACTCTCGCTTGGCTTACCGAACGTTCGACACACCTGTGCCGCCCAACCGATCCACTGAAAGTCATAGTCAATATGAAGATATCCAACGTCGTCCTCTGTCTCGTCCCGTCCGTGGCTCTGGCAGCCGAGTTCGAGCAAAAGCCTGCCGTTGCTCCCGCCCCTTCAGCAGATAACCTACCTTCCGCTTCTTCGCCAGAACTTACGATACCCTCGAGTGTTGAAGACATGCAAAGTGAACAACGGATCTACGATCAGTTCGGGAACGATATTACTTCAAGTCCAGACTACCCTGTTGTGGCAATCATCTCCAGTAAACAGAGGGTCCCAATGCCTGTCTTTGAAGGTCAACTATCTGAACCCGCCCACGGATCTATCGAACTGCGCTCATTGGAAGCGTCATCTGGATCGACCAAGTCGCTGAGAGCACGGAGTGAAGGCACACTCGGGCAGACACCTTGGATTGGTATGGCCATTGGGTTGACTTGTACGGCCTTGGCCGCGGTGATGCTTGGGTGACTGGATCCACGATTACGGTTTCTTCTATACATACAGTGCATCATGAGCACTCCTGCATTATCGGAGTTTTGTTTTCTCTTCTTCTTTCTCAGACCTGAGCTGTCCGATGATTTTGGCTCGTTTGCTACAAGCGTCGCATACATTCGCCGCGGCCTGCGGGAGCCTCCTTCAAAGACGAGGCGCACAACCGTTGCCTATGTTCTTCATTTATGTTCTCTTCTTTTTCACTTGCATTGACATACCCTCATTCGATATAGACTGGGTTGCCGATCGTATTGGCGGAACGTGTACATGATACCTTATATTGCTCTTCTTGTGGTTATATCCAGGCGTCTTTTCTTCTTTTATTTTCATGGATATTGATATGGCTGATTGCAGGTGTGAAGACTACCAATGATGTACCTACTACTACTCAATTCTGCCACCAAGGCATAATTACAATGATGATAGCTAATTATACTTGACATCTCGTCCAATCATTTCATTTCACCAAAAGGGAGATTCGGTTCTTTGTTTGCTTTGTTTCTTGCAGCATCATCCAGAATACGAGAGAGGCTGAGCTGCAGATCAACCTCCTCGGCCAGCCTTATTCTCTTAATCTCCACAGAAACTCCCTCCCCATCTACTCTTTTCCGACCATCTCATTTCATAACCCACGTAACTGCAACTTATCTCCATCTCCACCAGAAGAGGTCCTGGTCCTCCACAATGTCCACGCCAAACAACATGCCCCCATACACACCCATGCCCTCCCTGGGCCACGAGCTAGGCGTCATGTTCGGTTTCATCGTTGCCTGCCTGCTGATCATGGCGGTATACATCTATTTCTGGCGGGGTATGGCAACCAATCCCACCCACCCACCGCCCCCACATTCCATACTCCACGTGTGTGTTTCAAATCAGTAGGGAATCTGGCTAATGAGTAATATCAATGAAGCTGCCGACCGCCGCGACAAACAGCGCGATAAGGACCGGCAGAGGGAGCTTGCTCAGCGGGCGTTCCGGTATGATAGTTTCCGGTCAGTGGGGGGTCCGCGGGAGAAGATGCATAGGAAGATTGTGCCGCCGGTTGGGGCGCTGGAGGTTCCGTCTTTGCGTGGTGATCGTGCGAGGAGATAAATGGCGTCAGTGATAATTGTGATGGAGTTACGATGTGATTATAGATAACGGGTGTAGAACGGTGTTACGGTTTGGGTTTGGTCTTGGTCTATATGACGAGGGCGTTAATGGTGCGGAGTGCTTATATGGTCAATTTAATGGGATATTCTGTCTGTCTACCATGCTTCAATGCGATGCGATTCGATCTGAAATGCGGGCAATACCGCTGCTGGGACTCCTGCAACAGAGCCTACTACTTGCCCATAGCAAGGAACAAGCGATCTCCGATATCCCCCACCCCAGGCACAATCATCCCCCGCTCATCGCACTGCTCGTCGACGGCGCCCACCCACAGCTCCACGCCCTCGGGCCAGCACTCGGCCGCGCGACGAAGCCCCGGTTTCGAGCCGAGCACGCTGAGCATGATCACCCGCTGCACGCCCCATTCGCGGAGGAGCTGGATGGCCGCCTCGGCCGTGGCGCCGGTCGCAATGATCGGGTCGAGCAGGATGGCGAGGGTGGCGGCGGTGGAATTGGTGGGGGAGTCGGGGCGCAGGAAGGGGAGGTTATTGTAGTATTCGACTGGTTGGAGGGTGAACTTATCGCGGAAGAGGCCCAGGTGGTAGATGGGGACGGTGGCGGGGAGGAGGTTGTTGATAGCTTGAGCACGGTTCAGCTGTAGTTCCGAGGATGTCCATGGACAAAGGAAAACATAGGGATACCCTCAATCATGCCCAATCCTGACCGGAGAATAGGCACCAAGGCCACGTTGGCTGGGTCGATTGTCTTCGTCTCATACTCAATGCCCAGCGGGGTTTTATCCTGAGGTAGGGAATCAGATTAGCTCATTCTGCGGCATTGCAGCTGGGTACACAACCTTTCCACTGCTGGCAACCTTTAATCCGGCAGCAAAGGCTTCAACACCTAGAATGGTTGCAATCTCATGCACCAGACTGCGAGTCTCGCGACTGGAGGTGGAATGCGACCGGAGTTGGGAGACTTTGGCCTGGAGGCAGGGATGGGAGGAAACATGGATATTTGAGGGGAGCATTGTCTTAGATTCGAAAGATAGTTACTGTAAGATGTAAAAGTGAAGCAGATAAAGAAGGGGGATTCGAGGAAGGGATGAAGAGGGGATAGAGAGGGGCTGTTGCGTTGTATCGCTGTAGGTGACCTGGATGAGCTGCAGTTAAGCATGCCGCAGGAAGAAACAGCTGCGTAGCCCCCCTTCATCCACTTCTCTTCATCTCTCCTTCATGCCTCATTATCTCTTCTTCTCTATTGAGTATATCTTTGCTGACATGCTAATGATATGGATCAATGACATCTTTAGGTCTTATCAGACATCTCCATGGAGTGCTTTCGCTGATAACAACAGACCCACCCTCTCTTTGCACCTCCGTCACTAAGTCTCTCCAGTCCTCTTGGCATTGCGCCTACTCAGCCTGAGCTTGCAAAAGCATCATCCTCATGCAGCAATCGTCCCAAGACCAGCCCGCTGGTCTCTCTGAAAGTGCTGCTCCACCTCCTACGCCCTCGAATCCTCCTCAGCGTCAATCCTGGTCCTCCACCGGCTACGCACTGCCTCCCACCACCGAAAAACCTCCCGCGGCTCCCATCGAACCTACACCCACAAAGCGCACTCCCAGCATACAACCGCTCTCCAAACATGCCACTCAGCTCTTCACACTTTCATACCTCGTCTTCTTCTCCATCTTCGGCACCCTAGCCCGGCTGGGCCTGCAAGCGCTCACCTTCTATCCCGGCGCGCCCGTCGTAACTGGCGTCCTATGGCCCAACGTCGGCGGCTCCCTCTTGATGGGCTTCTTCCTCGAAGACAAGAACCTCTTCCGCGAAGAATGGGCCCAATCACCCGCTCGTAGCCGCAGCGAAGACGGCGACTCTGCGCGCCAACGTGCAGAGAACCATAAATCTGTCAAGAAGACCATCCCACTCTACATTGGCCTCACCACGGGCTTCTGCGGCAGCTTCACTTCCTTCTCCTCCTTCATCCGCGACGTCTTCCTCGCCCTGACAAACGACCTCCCCGACCCCTCTGTCTCATCAATCAGCCCCCGCAATGGCGGTTACAGCTTCATGGCCCTCCTCGCCGTCCTCCTCACCACCGTCGCCCTCAGCCTCTCAGCGCTCATCTGCGGCGCCCACCTCGCCCTTGCCCTCGACCGCTTCACCCCTTCCTTCCCCTTCCGCCTCACCCGCCGCGTCCTCGACCGGCTCTTCGTCCTCCTCGGCTGGGGCTGCTGGCTCGGCGCCGTTTTCCTAGCTATCTGGCCGCCGGATCGCTCCGCCAGCAATAGCAGCAGCACCAACGCTCCAGACACCTGGCGCGGGCGCGCCGTTTTCGCCATCGTCTTCGCCCCGCTCGGCTGTCTCCTGCGGTACTATCTTTCGTTATGGCTTAACCCGCGCGTGCCGGCGTTCCCGCTGGGGACTTTCACCGTGAATATCTTCGGTACGGTCGTGCTGGCCATGTGCTTTGATCTGCAGCGGGTAGACGGGATCGGGGCGGCGATCGGGGCGGATGCGCGCTCGGCGCCGTATGCGATTCTCACGAGTTGTCAGGTGCTCCAGGGCGTCATGGATGGCTTTTGTGGCTGCGMGACGACGGTGAGTACCTGGGTGGCGGAGCTGAATGGGCTCAGTCGGCGGCGGCAGGCGTATGTGTATGGTGTCGGAAGCGTCGCCGTTGCACTGGGGTTTTTCGTGGTGATCGTAGGCTCGCTCGGTTGGACTCGGGGTTTCGTCGACCCTGTTTGTACATAGTTAACCCATCTGCGGCACTTTTGTAAATATTTCACCCAGAAATTCTGTATATCTAATCAAGACAAATCTATCCAGTTCTTACGGTAAATAAGCTTCTACATAGACTCAAAGGTATCCCCGCTAAACGATGTATTTCTTTTTGCACGGAAATTACTTATAGTACAGGGTACTACGACGATAGAGCATGTCCAAGGTCAAGGAAGATAACAAAAGAATAAACATTAACGCAGGCAGAAAGCCAAAATGCACAAACGCAAACATGCAAGCGCAGAAATGAAGAACGACTCAGCATAGAGAGGAGAGACGCGAAAAAACATCAACAATGCTGCGGGGATGGCGTAAACACATAACGATTCAGAACGATTCTAACTCAGCACAGGCATTAAAATCCAAAAAAAGGTGGTCAAAGAATAGAAAGTAATAATAATCCAAAGTGGTGGAAGGAGTGACTTGAAGAGAAACTTGAGAGAAAAAAAAAGAGGCAGAGAAGTATATAACGAACAAGGTATCAATATGGTCAAGGGACAAATCAAATCGGCAAATTGACCACAAACATGCTGATGCGCACTAGGAATTAAGGGTTCTTCGAAACGAAAATGTCGAAAACAACAACTCCACCGAGTGCTAAGAGGGAGAACACACAGGACCAGCCGGGTGTCGAGATGTTGCCTGGGACAAACAACCCATTAAAACAAAAGCAAAAAATGACCACACCGGACTCCTGTGAGCTCTTGCCAAAACCAACAGGATGAACCATGATAAATGCAAGAGAAAGACACCTCAACTGAGGAGAGGAGCAAGAGAAAAACAGAAAACAGCAAACAGAAAAACAGAAAAACAACAGAGTAATATATCAGTCGGGAATCACCAGCAAGGAGCATTATGCGGCAGTTCGAATCATCGTATTCCGTCGTTGAAGAACACACGTTGCCGCCCACCTGCTGCGAAATTATTCCCGACCCCGAGTTCCGAAACACAGCCAGTATCCAAAAGTCGATGTAGAATGAGTGCCCAGTAAAGAGAGTATACGCAATGAAAGACGAAGAATGCAGGAAGGAAGTGCAGACCGCAATATGTGAGATATACTGTCGGTACACTGAATGGGTTCACATGCCCACTGTCGAGACTAGTAGGCAGTCCCGACACTAGCAAGTGTCTTGGTGGGCATTGGATGAATCGGCTGATCCTTGGCAACGCGCAACGAGTCTTCATAGCCGATCAAGGCTTGAGCATGAAGTTTGAACGATTCGCCCATGAGCTTGGTGATTCTAAAACAGAAAACGACGTTAGCAATCAACTCTCTATACCCTTCGAATACGGAACCAACTCACCCCCAGACTACCACGCCGTCCAGGATGTTACCCCATACACGGGCCACGGTGGAGCTGAGTTTACCAAAAGCGTCAACGGCGTCGTCGTCAAACAGATTCCGGACCTTGTTGTAGATGGCCAGCTCAGCCTCGGTAGCGGGCTCTTCGTCATGTTCCAGGCGATAGAGCCAGAGACTGAGGATGACCATCAGGTCCAAGCCGCAGAGCGGATGCTCGACACTCCAATTTGTTGCCGACGTCTTGGCAACCCAATTGATGCCTTGGACTGCTGCAATCTCGATGCACTCGAAACATGATTGGATCACTTTGTTCATCTCCCCAGACCGCTTCACCTTCTCACGCGCCACAGTCATCGCAGCAGCAACCTCGTAGGAAGAATGGTAGCGCAAGGCTTCCTGGATTGACTTGAGGTCAACCTCTAACCGAGCACGCGTGTTACGATAGACGGCCATCGAGTTGAAGATCAATGGATGTCCGTTCTGAGGCGTGCTCAAAGGCACAACGATCGTCTCTGGTTCGCAAACTTCCAGAGAACTCTCCCATGTCTCCAGAGCGAGACGGAGTTTGTACTCAGTGACCACGTCCTGAAGAGCCTCGAAGGTCCTCTTGTGGTTCCACACCTGTAAGAAAAGGGCATTGATCAGAACCCGAGTGGCAAAGGCGCTGTAACGCGTCTGTTCGCCCTGGAAAAGACAGTCGTGGGCTTCCCGGACGGTAAGTGTGGTCGCAGAGGACAGGCTACGACGCCAGGCCTCGTCGTCGTTGACGTCCAGGTTCCACATCGACTCAGAGGACGGCAGCTCGAGATTGTCGAATTCGTCGAAGCTCATTGCTGGGGTGTGGTTGAATGTCAGAGTGAGCATGCCGAAGAAGATGTAGACAGCGTAGTAAGTGCGACGGCAGGAC